AACGCGAAAAAGTCGCTTTCTGTCCAATGAACCACACCCGTTAGCGCGACGTCGCGCTCTGAGCTTTTGGCATACATCCTTTGACAACTGCAGCGAAAATAAACTTATAAAAACGATCACTAATAGTATGTTCCATCTTTCTTTCAAGCGACTTCCTCGCCTCTTGCAACGCGAAGCTTTTCAATCAAACTTGCACCCCGGTCGAGGCTTGATGATGAGCGGCCGTGGGTAGCGAAAAAGTTTTGCGTTGCGAAAGCGAGAAAAAAAGTCTCTGTATCAAGGACCTACCATGAATAAGCCATAATCTCACCATTTATAATCGATATGTTCAGTAGGTGCCTGGGGCAGACGAATCCTTATGACGAATTCCTGGAAAACGAAAATTTTCAATTTTTGCATGTTCGCGATACTTCTGCATCAAATACTGATTTCTATAAAACTTGTTTGGACAACGGAGCACTTATTAACTCGTCAATTTGCAGCTGCTTTCTCTCGAATGGTTTTCAATATGGTAGCAAATGTGTTTAAATTACAGCTTCGCCGCAGCTTATAGCAAAAATTACTGTACTCGTAATTACTGCGAATTATGAGAACACATTGCGTCTTATTACACATTCTCGTCACAAGAACTTAAGTAACGAATTGTCAAAGAGGTTACTTAAAGGGATTGATTGCTTACTGTGGATAAATTCAATTGCATGCACTGTAACGAAATTATCAATCATGTACTATTGAGAACACCCTCATTCAACGAAAAAGACTAAATATGAGTCAAAGAAATTCTCCAGGAAATTAAATGATTCGGCGATTCTTCCAATCCTTCCTGAGCCGTGCGTTTTTTTCATGATTCGTTTAATATTTCAGGATAGAAATATCATACTCTTTTCTATTCTCATTTTTCATCGTAAGCTCTGCTTTTAAGTTCGTGAACGAGTGGAAAATGTTTCACATACATGCGCTGCCTGGAATAAACGTAAGATTCTCACCTCATCAGCTGGTACTCCATAATATTTCCTGATTTGATCATTGAAATTCTTCCTATCACAATGTGCTAATTGTAAAATTGACCGAGCCGTATTCATCGGGCACTTCCACTTTATAAGAGCAGTTTTAGATTTCGAGTACGACGAACAAGTAGGAATATCTATGTACATGTTGCTTCGAGTTAGCCCTTAGCAGATTTTCCTGACACTTTCTTTTTGGTTTTTCTAAAAAGAATATGAGAAGGAATTAACGAAGTTGAGAACTTCTGGAAAGTAAGCAAGCAGGTCGTCGCAGGAGACATTAGAACTGTAACGACTGGTCTGTGAACCACTTGAAGCACAAGAAATACAATCAAATCATAAAATAAGCATAAATTTATCAGAAAAAAAAACAAGTAACAGCATCTCAAAGGGGTACTAACAACTATGGCTCAACAGGAAACATTTCTCTAATGAAAAAAACAACCATTTTCTTTATTTTGGTGATGCCCTGTGGCACATCATATGTTCATCCCATTTTATTCGATTCACTGAAACAAATGAATGATCTTCCAAATCTTTTCCAGCGTTACACTAGAGGAAAGGGGGAGGCTGTGTTGATACAGTGTGGATAGAATTGAAAACAAAACAAACACAGTTGTTTTTTTTTTGAAAAGGGTGTCCAAATGCGTAGAAAATGAATAGGTTCACATGGCTTTTGTGGCAACGTGAGTTGTAGAAAATATTTGTTATTGCTTTCCGTTCCCCGTATGGTCTACAGTGTCATGCTGAGCAATGCAAGGATGGGTACGAAGATATTTCTTGACCACGCCATATCCAAGAGGTGTGTAGAGCGGGGGCACCAACGCGATGAGGTCGTTGTGGTAATGAACAATGTGATGTACATCATGTAACACTATAACACTCCATGTAATACAATGCAGTCCATGATTCAATTAAAGCCACGAGTCGGGTTTAGGTGCCAAGAAGTTAGCCCTCCTAAAGTGAAAGAGGGCCCCCAAGTCCAAGAGCAGCGACACTGCTGCAAAAAAAGTGCGTGGCAATGTGCTAAGGTCTTAGACCTCGGTCAGACTCGGCGATTGTGACGGAATCGCCGGCGACGGAGTTGCCCGGCACAGGAGTGGCCGATGTCAGACTCTGCGATTGGAGCGATTCGGTCAAATGTGAATCGCGCGACCATCGCGCGATTCACATTACTCCCATCATGACCAATCGCTCCAATCGCGCGATGGGCGCGATCACTCCCGTTGTGGCAGGGAGCGCAGCTCCGCAGTCAGACCTCGGTCAGACTCGGCGATTGCGTCGCTGTACACCAGCGACGGAGCCGCTGGCGACGGAGCCGCCGGCGACGGAGCCGCCGGCGACGGAGTCGCCAGCGACGGAGCGCCTGCGCACAGAGTGGCAGCAACGGAGCGATGACTCAGCACACGATCGATATTCGGGTTGGCAGGGGGGAGATTAATCATCCTCACCCACATCGTTCATGTTGTTCTGCTCGGTTTTTTTTTCAAATTCTTAATCAGGATAGGATATAATCAGGAAAAGACTGCGTGGGATGCACTTGAATGCGAGGAAAGTGGTCCTGTAATAATTGACGTGATGAAATGACCCACCAAAAGAAGTTGTGAAATACAACTATCATGGATTTTCCCACTCGATCAAAGAACCAATCAAGTTTCGAGCTAGTTACTTCAAGATACCTTTGAAGTTATTACAATGACAGGGAGGACCACTATCCTGATTAAGAATTTGAAAAAAAAACCGAGCAGAACAACATGAACGATGGGTGAGGATGATTAATCTCCCCCCTGCCAACCGATATCGATCGTGTGCTGAGTCATCGCCCGTTGCTGCCACTCTTGTGCCGGGCAACTCCGTCGCCGGCGATTCCGTCGCTGGTGTACAGCGACGCAATCGCCGAGTCTGACCGAGGTCTTACCTTGAACGTTGTCGGCGCTGCTACTATATCGCGACATGCGTCTGCGCCTTTCCGTACGACGAGCGCTCTGCCTATTCGTCTCCTGCGCAGCTGAGGTCTATCCACATTGTACGTTCGACTCAGAAAAAAATGTTCACTGTTCTTCTAGGAGCAAGCTAACCACTACACATTCTCAGTCGCAATTTGCTTGTCCAATTTTGAAGTTACAAAATTAACACAACTTAATCGATTTCTACCCGCGCATGAGAATTATTAGGCTCCCTTTCGAAGCATGCAAAACCGGGCAATTCGACAAAACGTACACATCTAACACTTCGTTATGTAGAGAAATGAGAGAGGGCGTGTTCGGAACAACCCTCGACCTGTCCCTTAAAGGGATGATTTGAGGACACTGAACAGAAGAGAGAGAAGAGAGAGAGAATTTTGCAGGGTTTCAACTACTGTTGCCATTGCTGCTGATAAATTGGTTGAGTTTATCGTAAGGAAAGTCTGAATACCCAAGTGAATTTGTACTTTTGAGATACTACATTTAAGAAAAAAAAACCTAGAAAAAGGGAGTTGTTTTTGTTTTCAGCTCTATCCACAATTATCACCACATCCCACCTAAAGCATCCTTATAGAGACTGGAGACATCATTCATTTATTATAGGGATATCGATGACGAATAGATTGGAACTATACTTTTCGAGCACATTGGGACACACCGCATCATAGTTATTTGATGAATCTTACCCAGTTACCGATATGGGGGGTAGCTATGAAACCTAGCTTACCTATTTTTATAACAAATGACTCATAAAGCATTCATAACAGAACAAAGAACCAGATTATGTTGCAACAGATACATGGGCAAAGCTATCGATAGGACTATCCAAAAGAGTGGACATGAGAAATAAAGACCAGGTGGGAGAGTGGAACAAGGATAAAAGGGGAAAGCTAACAACGAGTGTGATGAAAAGAAGCAAAAGACTGACGAATAGTTTTCCAAGAAAATGTGATAAAGGTGAAGGTGGCTATGAAGAGGACTGATTGACATTTGTCACAATATAGAGAACAATTAACAATAAAGAAATACAATTATTCTAATGAAGTATCGAACTCACTACCGTTTTACTAACTTCAGTTTTCTTAGCATCCATTTGAAATGTGCCGGTAAGGGAGCATGTATTCGAATTGGAGCATTTGATCGCGACACGGCTGGTAGAGTAACCTTAAGCGCTCACTGATATACCTGGATTCTACATAAAGAAGTACCGAATAAACACATTGTCCGAATTATACCACAGCATAGCTTCAAAATATGTTACAAAGTGGTTCTGAACTGAGATTGTAAGCCCATGAAAAAATCCTCCCATTGAAATTATTTCTCTCATCCTCATCAGATACGGTTTCAAAAAATCATCCGATGTCAGCAGTTCGCGATGTGAGTGGTATCACAATGACGCTATGTTATGGAAAAAACAGGCCCGGGTTAGGAACCAAAATACACCTTCTCGCTTTCCGGACTGCTGTGTAACCAGTACTACTAACAATAAGGAACCGTTCACCTTGGCTAATCCTTCAATGCGAATATAACTGAATGAGCCGATTAGCCAATCAGCAGTAAATGTGAAGTTGAAAGCTCCAATAAAATAAGATTTACGCACCTCTTTGGAATGAAGATACATGGGGATTTTGCGAGACTGTGAATCTGTCACATTGAGCGAATCCAGAACATGATGGGACAAGCTAAAAAAAACGCTTGTACATCTCTATTGTTGCTATACGAAGTTGCTGTTTTAAAGCTGAACTTCGAGTTGCGAAAAGTTTCCCAAGAATGCTGGTAAAACTCTTCGCTCCAAGGGGAATATAAATCCTTCTTACTCTTCACACTCAGACCGAGCAGGTGCGGATCCTACTGCCGTTGAGGCAAGAGCAAAACGAAAGTTCAGCCACGAGCCTCCATCCATCACCGTAACCCTAGAGCGTGCAAATAATCGCTATGTTGTGCAATGTGAGACTACGGACCACGCACCATAGTGGACGACCTTATCTATCTAGAAGTGCTCGGCTTCGACTTGTTTTACAGCTTGTTTATTGTTAGTTTTGTTGATATTACATATAGTGTTTTCAGAGATCGTCCGATTCTCACTCTCAAAATGAGTGCGGCGTGGTGCAGAGGCTGAAAATTACTGTTAGCGAGACAGTGAAGCGAAGTTGACAGGGTATTGTTAAACCTGATTGCGCTTGCTAACTCGCTTCCTAGAAGTGATGCATCTGATTAGACATTCATCAATTCATTCGTTCAGGGGGTTCGGAAGCACTAAAGAATACGTTCATGAGTCTATAAGACGTCCTACCATGTGAAGTGCATTGCTCTTTCCATCAAGGTGGGTTATCAATTATCTTTTCCGCTCGATTTTCTGTTCCGTTTATCCGATCTAGCAGCTTCTTTTTCAGATGCACTCTAGCAAATAAACCGCCGATTGGTTTCACTACATTCATCAAACACAACGGGGCCACTGTTTCGTCGAGAAGTGCACTTCATTTAGACTGATAAATGACCTAATTAATTGGTTTTCTGGTTGCATTACTGTTCATTACAGTTCTACCTCATCATAAACATTAGCAGCATTATCACATTATTATTATTATCACTCATTACGAATAAATAGCAAGTGATCATTTACTGCGATTGTTGTGACACTACTGTGAATTAGTTGTTGTTGTAACTTCCCTGTTACATCAAAATAAATATGAATGTCGTCATTTTTGTTACATCGAAGTAGTCGCACACGTTAAAACAACAACGAACAACACGAATTACAAAACTGCCATCTCATTTACTCGTGTTTGGGACACGCCGCTCTCACAAATTGAGATTACAACCCTCGGAACATTTGGAAGCATACTAAGATGCTTTTGAGAGCTCAAATTAATGTTGTTATTTTCATCATCAACTAGTGGTGATGCTGTTTACTTCAGATTACAGTGGACCTCGCTTGAGAAGGAATTGGTGATTGCTTGAGGCATTGACCCTTTTCACCTCTAGGCCTTTGTAACCTCGCACCACGAACTTGAAAGGGGTGCGCTGACGCGACTCACGTCATCTTCCTTAATGGCTAGCAATGGGCGACAAAATGAAAGGCTTAGAAGGTGTGAAAGGTCAATGCTCATTGTATATAAGAGACTGAAATAACCTGCCCTACCTCTTTTAGTTCTTCTCTTCAGTGCTGCATTGTTTGTTTTAGAAGAATACCCGATGATGGCTCAGATAGAGCTGAGGATGAGTGGCTCAAGTGCTCCTCGTGTGGCTTTTGGGCACATGACAGTTGTTCAGGCGAAGGGGCACCGTGCCCCTTATGACGAAGGAACTTTTAATTATGCTACACTAGAGTGAACCAGGGATCCGTAGATTTTTTTGGCAATACTCGCTTTGTCTTCTGATTTTAATTGTTATTCTGATTGTTATTTCGATTACTGATTTCCGTTGTGTAACATTTCTCACTTATTTTCCCTTATACCTTGTCAATTTTCTCTCATCTCATCATTTAGAGGGTCCATTCCAATAAGGGGGCATTGTAGTGCAATAATTCTGTTGAGGAAAAACATCTTGCAGACAAAGAAATCGAAAAACAAATGAGGCAGGGCTCCGGGGTACGTGAACCAGTCTGTTTCAGTGTGCCAAATGCCCTCCCTTATTGGAAAAGACTCTAACTGTACTTATTTCACTGTATAATACATGAACTATTATTAGGAATGTAAGCGGCAATCGTTCTACTTCTACAATGCACAACATAGCATAATGTGTGAATAATATTTCGTTATATGCGTTATAATAACAATAATAATAATAATGGTAATAATATATAAATCAATGATAATAAACAAATTAGTAGTAATAAATTTGCAAAAGAATCCCTGTACAACAATCTAATACTCTTGGAGAAATGTGCACCAGCAACAAAGACACCTCACTTACGCAGGGCCGCTTAGAAGCACTTCATCAAAAAAGCGTGACTTGCTGCAAAACATACCAACCTGCTACAACGACTACCTCACCTACGATATTACCCAAATGCGTTGAATAATGATGGGAAGACATTTTTGCTCAAGGTCGTCCACTATGGTGCGTGGTCCGTAGTCTCACATTGCACAACATAGCGATTATTTCACTGCGTCTAAGGTTACGGTGATGGATTGGATCGTGCTGAGACTTTCGTTCTTGATGAGGCGGAAGTATTTTGCCCATAACCCAGTACTTTTGTGAAACACTGTACACCATTTTTGAAGTCCATATCATTCAACATTATTTTACATACCGTGGAGTTCGAGGAGAAGAACCGCTGTATTTTGCATCACCAATTAATGGGCAACCAGCTAGCGCAAGGTGAGCACGAATCTGATGAGGGATTTCTGAAGCACATGTAATTTGAAATTTACGTAGAGGAACTTCAACTAAGGAGCAAATTTTGGATTTTTTGCTCAAAAAAGGAAATCCGGTGAAAATGGAAGTTGTGGGGCACTTCCTGCCTGCTATCTTATCCGTAGCATTGGAGAGTTCTCATTTGGGCTCTCAACACTAAGATGAGATAGTAGATAAAGACCCATTTCAAGTGTATTTCTTACCGGACCTGTTGGTGTCCTACATGCCACACATCCTTCTCACACCCATACAGTTTCTGGTATCAGAGCTCCCAACCTTCAGCCTTATACAATGAGGCCCATTCGCCTTGTTCAGGACGATTTCTTTGGTCCACTGCAGGTCAAATATCAGAACCTCAGAAGTATTTTCACACTACACCGGTGAATCAAAACTATATTTTAAATGGGTCGATTACGTGAGCTTTCTAACTTTATACTTAGTACTGGCGAGCACAACAGAATGAATCCCTCCAAGGTCTATTTTCACCAGCAAATTTCTGAGTGGTTGTTACCTCTGTGAGTCCGAACTTCCACACTTGAAACATATTGATTTTCCACGAACAGTGCGGCATTCCGATTCTACGTAGAATATCTCGCCTTTCGCTTTGTTCGACACCAAAGGTACAAGCTGAATGCAGAACATAAAATTCGCTTCCAAAGTGGTAATAAATTATTGAGAGTTCTTACGTCCAGAATCGATATCGAATATATCCTATCTACTGAATTCGTGAGAAATTGTGCAATTTGACAGCTTTCGCGCATGAAGGAGCATATAAAAGTGAGGAGAGATAAGGAAACAGAACCTCCTTCTGCTATTCCCAATAAGGTCAGGGCCACACTTTGCGATTGATTCGCAGTTCTTATGTGGAGAAGATACGTATCTAGCATGCGATATTGCACGAAATCGAGCAAAACCAGGTTACCGCCAGATTAAGAATAGTTATTTTACCTTATTTTCCATGTATTTGACATGCAGATTCACCTCCTTTTTTCACAGTAACGAATTATTTAAGCTAATTAATAGAGCGGAGAAGTAAAAAAAAGAGAAAGAGGAAGAAAGAAAGAGGAATCATGAGGATGATTTACGGCCAAGAACCAATGCTTCACGACACTCGCGATTCTCGATCGCGAACTATAACCGCGACCGAACTGCAACAACCTGAAGGAGCAGGAAGATGTGCTATCAGAGGAACTTAGGGTGAAGTGAAAAATGGAAGAAAGCTGGATGATAAACCCCGCAAAAAAAGACAGCCCAGCATCTAAGGGTGGGTGAAAATTACGGTAACATAGACGCGTCATATTTATTTTTCTCCCTCTCAACTGAATTGGAATTTTTGGGCGATAAAAGTGCACTTCTGCGAGAGAAAAAATCCTGGACACCGAATAATGTCCACTTCATCCTGAATCGCCTTATTTCTTCAATAATGATTCTCTTCAAAGGGAGGTTAGCACAATATTTCGAATGTAAGCGTCTAAGACAGGCGACTCAAAAGAGAGCACAGCGGCTGAATTTCATGTGCGAAGAAGTGCTGGAGTAAAGCTCGTTCAATTTGTCTCCAAGCGGCTGAAATCGCTAGTGAGCGCCTTCCTTGCGACGTATCATGTATTGTATCGATTCCATAGTGGGCTTCATTCGTCGTCGTTTCCCTGATGGAAAACTATTCTGCTTGGGCCAGTCTTGAATGAGAAGAACAACCAGTGCTACTGAAGCTAAGATAAGGCTGGTGTCAGAGTCCGCGATCCGTCGCAGGTTTCGCTGATTTTCGCGATTTGCGCGATTCACGCGATTCACGCGACGGGTCACGGAAATCACAAGTGCCCGATCAATACTGCAAGGTGTTCTCCAATCCGCCGCCACTTCTGCTTGATAGTGATGGCTGAATGACGACTGCTCATGATTCCACTTGTTTCATATTCAGTGTTTCAAATGTTCAAATGGGGCACTTGCAATTTTGCGATCCGTCGCAGGTTTCGCGCAAATCGCGAAAATCGCGTGAATCGCGCAAATCGCGAAAATCAGCGAAACCTGCGACGGATCGCGGACTCTGACACCAGCCTAAGCCGACTTCAGCCGTTCATTAATGGCTTTCGCAGAAATAGCAAGAGCAGGCAGGAATCACGAGATGAAGTTAGCTCGGGCCTTTGCTGTTCAAGATATGAAAATGGACATCAAGTGCTATATTAAATCTTTGTAGACACAGCCGATAAGTACAACTTGAATTGAGGACCTTCAATAGAAACGATGGGAAATCAGGGCAAGACTGAGCGCAACCCGTCCTTCTGTGGGCATAAAAAAGGTTAGTTGAGCAGCCACCTTGAAAGACTTGAAGTTTTTCGACAACACCTACCTACAAAACCAGACCCCGAGGTTTTCAGGAGTTTCTTAATTAGTCCCGCGCAGTAAATCGTCAACTCAGGAGAGGATACTGTTTCTGACGCTATCGCAATAGGGGCATTCTCAGGCACTGAACCGTAGGAAGAAACAGAAACTTCAGAGAATGAAAACTCCTTCTGTGGCATAGAAAAGGTTATTGAGCAGCCACCTTGAAGATGACGTTTTTCGATAACACCTACCTACAAAACCAGACCCCGAGGTTTTCAGGAGTTTCTTAATTAGTCCCGCGCAGTAAATCGTCAACTCAGGAGAGGATACTGTTTCTGACGCTATCGCAATAGGGGCATTCTCAGGCACTGAACCTAGGAAGGAACAGAAACTTCAGAGAATGAAAACTGCTGTAAAAACAGGATGTTTTGCGCTACTCTGAAGTGTTTTGTCACCACAATGCCCTCATACTTACGATAGCGCCGTTTTCTGTTCGACAACCTCTCACTAGCATGTTGGCGTGGGCCTTTTAGGCCACACTGGTTTTATGGTCAATTTATCTCACCACCTATCTTGCATAACGAATCCCTTCATGAGATACAGAGTAACCATAAGAGCAGAGCAAAACTTCAACTAAATTCGTGATAATTTTCAGAAAGGAATTCAAAAAAATAATAGTAAATAAGAATACTATCTCACTTTCATGTCCCTATCCTTCACGGTCTTTAATAAGGGAATATTGATTTTGACGGGAGAATCATCCAGTTCGCCTCGTACGATACACCTACAAGTAAAATAAGAAGCTCAGACGTCATAACAAAACTTAAGCTGTTTGAGTGGTACCTGCTTATTTGTTCTACCAAGCCTTTTTCGAAATCTTCCTTCAAGGTCGACTGCAGCATAGCATTGCTAAATATCGCGAATTAAGAAAAATTCTGTTGGAAAACCGCCACTAAACTTGAAGGGATGCTATGTGAGAGTGTTTGATGAATCGTTACATACATTTCATGTACTTTGACCGAATTGAGAAGAAAATTGAGAGCATAATGATGCGATAAAACTATATCCGACAGTCCACAGTGCACCACAGGTGTTGTCCACGACACAATCGACTACTTTGTTGACAATAAGAACCCATTGCGCCAAAGAAACTCACGTTGCAAACAGAACAATGCCTGACTGGAACTTGTCCAACGATTTGACCAAATATAACCTCTCACACTTTGGAACGACCCTAGCCTAATGAGTAAATTTATTAAAGTATCGCAAACAAGAAATGTGAAAGCTTGAACTCACTTTGATTTTCTGTAATAATCTATCTAACTGAGGGGCAGTCGGAGATGAGCCGGAATAAGCCATACCATATGGTTTGTCAAGTGCAAGGATATTCTCTAAACTCAAAAATAGCGCACTGTGCATCGTAGGCACTCTTCCAATTATTAACTTACCATCTTTATACAGAATCCTTTCTGACATAAGATCCAACAACTCCTCTTGAGTCATACGCCACAAGGGAATAATATCAGCTCGTATTTTTTGCAACCCAGACTCCTCAATTGTTCCATCAGAGCTCCCATCGAACTAAATTCAACTTCTGAATAAAACACTAGCTACACCAATCTACCCGATTGATTGACTGCCCAACCCCTTCTTTGATGTAATAACAATGAGTGTTTTCCAATTAAAAGCTTCACAACTTCCGTCCGTTCATCTGCCCCACAACAACGTGATGGTGACAAAAAAACGACCCTACTAACCAGGGAGGGTCATCAGGTCGGTCCGGCCATTTGCAATGAGTCTGTATACCGTTGCACTCGCCTCGAGACGCTGAGCTCAAAACTGCCTTCCTTATCTGCTAAACGATTCTTTGAACGAAGCAAGGAAGCGCAGCGGTAGTGCCCCGTCTCGCAGGCAAGAGGTCGTGGGAACGGTTCTTTGAAGAGTCTGTTTTCTTGCTTTTCCTGACAATGTGGCCGAAATGCTTCTAATCTTCTTTGATTTATCAACACTTGCCATTAGTTCCCTGCATGAAAAGCTTGCGAGCAGTTTCTTTGCAGGTTTGGGCAGTAGTCGTCCATGTATGAACATGGTGCCCGTAATGCACGTGTCAGGCTTTTTCGCGGCAAACAGGCATGATATTCGTGTTCAGGAGATCAAACTACTCCCAGGAACAAGTTTCCAGCCAAATCTGAGATTTTGACACAACTTCGAAAAACTGGGTGAGCCATACATCATCAACCTATCATCGAACCCTTGATATGGAAATCAACCTTTCATCCAAGATTCTGAACAGAAAAAAACATTCAACCTTGGCTCCTTTTTCGCATGATAGGAACGATTTACATGACTCTGTCTCTAAAGGTGGTGGTTCAGGTGAGGTGCTTACGCAAGTTCGTTTTCGATTCATACGTGCTTGCGCCTGGCTGACTTTGCTGAACTACCCTTTCTCAAAGGTGGGTCAAAATCTCAAAATCGGCTAGAAGCTTGCCACTTAGGTAATTTGACCCTCTGATCACGAATATCATAGTAGTTTGCCGCAAAAACGCGCGACGAGTGACCTAGCGTCGTGTAGAGTCGTGGGCGACCAGACAAACTCTTTACCTAGGCAGTTACTGGCAGGCATTGACGAAATAACATTGCAGGAAGCCTGTTTAGTTGAAAGTTGTCAAAAAGGCGAAACAATGCGAACCACGAACCCAACCCATGACTTCTACACTACGAGTCTTGAAATTTACCACCTACACCATTGCGTTCGCATCTGCCAACTCCTCATGGTTTATACAAGCGACTCCAATGGTAGCCCTCAAATACAGCGTTCAAATACATGTTGAGGAGAAAACTTCCGTAACTCCGTTCAGAGCACCGTTTAGCAGATAAGAAAAGCGGTTTCTAGCTTATCGTCTCAAGACGAATGCATAGGTATACACCTCATTGCAAATGGCTGACCGACCTGATCACCTTTCCTGATCAGAGGATGGTAAATGAGAAGTTCATGGGGAAACAACTCACCTCATCATTTTCATCTTGAGCAGAGCTGTCCTTCTGTCGGAGGCTCTTTTCAGGGGAAACATTCTTTCGTCGCCTTTGAGAACTATTGACATGGGATCGACGGCGACTTTCCTTATTTTGGTCGAGTTCAACCATTTGAGGAGTCGACTCTTCTGATTCTACAGGCGCTCCACTCATGCGGCCACTGGAAACACCAAACTGACCAAATAAGGATTGAAAACGGAAGTGACTCATCAAAGAGATTCTTCGCTTATAGCTATTTTCAGAAACTGAAATAAAACGTGACTGAATTGCGATTTCAAAAGAAACCTTACTCAGGTGATCCCATCCGTCTGAAGAACTGCTCTTCGATGAAGTCCTTGGACAGTTTACTGTCATCCCTTTCTGATGAATCAGGATCCTAGAAATACCAAAGAACATCATCACTTCAAAAAAAAAACACACACACAATAAAAGTCACGTACAAGTTCAAGTTGAGGGAAAAACGCCCGATCCAGAAATTCTGTACCAGAAAGTTGACTAACGTCCTTTCCCAGATCAGTGACATCCGTCCTGAGACGAAAAGACTTCTTCGGTTTTGCGTGGTCTTTAACTGCCTGAAGTTGCTCCTAATAGAAGTTTCGAACAAATTGACGTCAAGCATGCAATAGCTTATTCCAACGAAACTCTGGAACATACTTGTTCCTCTTTTATTTCAGGTTTCGGCGACTGCGATGACATGTATTCGATACCGAAAAAATCATCCGCTGCCGATCTGTCGGACATCTTTGCTTAACGAACGGAAATCGGGATGTAAAAGCAATGGAAAATCTAAGAGTAATGCAATGTAAGGACTCGAGAACAAGTTATGCGATGGATTGCCAGAAAAAAAGAAACAAATGTAAATTTACAGTATGCACTCAATTCGCTTCAAAGGAGTTGACTGGCTTCTAAAACAACATGGGGGTCATAACTCTAGGCAACATAAAAACGGTCTACATAAATTCCTAACCCAGGATAAGACGTGGGAAAACAAAATTCACAGTTAGTGGGGCCGTGGGGTGCACCGGGTGTGGGTACTTAGGACAGAACGCGACTTTTTCGCTCTTCGCAACGCGACATCGCGCGGCAGGCTGGCGCACCCGTAGCGAAAACAACTACGGTATATAAGAACGCGCGATTGGAGCGCGATATTTGTGTCGGCTTTGATTGCGACAAGGAGTTTGAAGCTTAATAGCCATGGATTTGATAATGAACGAGGAAATGGTAACCAGAAGTGGACCGCTAACTAGCAGTGAAGAGGGAGGTAGGTTATTTTTGCAGAGATGGATGGTAGAGCTTCTGGAGAACCTGGAAGAGGAATGGTTGATGGACGTTTGATGAGACGACTGTAAACTTCTGCATAGGGGTTATTTGGGGCCCTGATCATGAATATGACACTCATTTTTCACATTCGTGCTGTTTAACGCATACTTTCTGCTTTACTAAGCTTTCTCACCTACAGCGCCTACGACTAAGCATAGGGGAGGGGAGTGAAACTCCGGAGTGGGTAAACCACGCACCGTGTGGCAAAAGTTGGAGTGTGTCACACCACAGGGGAATGGCCTACCCACTTTGGAGCCCTACACTACTCAAAGGCTTAGTCCTACTGCGATCTAATTAGTGCGAGGGCGCAGACGAGCAGGAAGCAGGCGCCGAATAGCGCTAACAACAAATCAGGACCCCGAATAACCCCTACAGAAGTTTAAAGCGAATTTAGTGGGAAACAGTTGTGGCGCCACCCGGCCCCAAATGGCGCCAGCGTCCAAAATGAGTATCATATCCGTAATGAGGACAGAAGCGTTCCGTAAAAGATGTTATACCCTTATGCAGATGTCTATACAACAATATGAACCCACAAAATGCAAGCACAAGCGGCCCTATTAAACCCTCGTTCACCGATAATTCGTAAAACACCATTTAGTGGCATCGCCCGGAATCGTGTAAGTCACAAAACGTTTTCAATAATGAGACAGAATTAGTGATTCACCGCATTTATCAATACAATGGGTGTGAGCGCGGGCAAGTAAGGAATCAGAAACTTACAAATTCACGCATGCAAAAAAGCTGCTCCAATCGCGCGTTCTTATATACCGTAGTTGTTTTCGCTACGGGTGCGCCAGCCTGCCGCGCGATGTCGCGTTGCGAAGAGCGAAAAAGTCGCGTTCTGTCCTAAGTACCCACACCGGGACCACCATGAGTGCAGTTTTTCCAGAAAGCTAGGGTAACTCCGAGCCAGGGGAGTGTAGCCAGTCTAGGGGGTGGGGGTGAGGGCAGTCACTTGACATGCGTGAAAAGCTGGAATGTTCGAGTTCACATTAGTTCGCCGAGAAGCTGCATCATGATGCCCCCTAACTGGAATAGACATAAAAAACACTTGTAGCTGCAGAAGCATTGATATTGCTTTCAAATTCACATGTTGAGTACCATGTAATCTCCACTTCAAAAAGCGAAAAAATGTCGGGTGCAGACCAAACACCACAACTGACGACGGCCTCCAAGTAAATCTGTTAGAAGTTGTTCATAGTGATAGCTGATTTCTGGTAAATGATAGTTGTAATTAGTGACAATCGATAGAATACAACTGCAACACTAATCATTTCATTGGGCAGAAAACACTTTAACATTATGTGAAGGCCGTCGTCACTTACGGCGGTGCACAGGCTACTCTGCTTCCACAAAGAGTTAACCGTTTAGGCCCTGTTCAGAGATGTCCGCTTGCGCGAAAAAACGCATAGGCGAAACAATGTGAAATATGTATCGACTGAACGAAGACGCACAGGCGAATCGTGAAGTGGGAGGATCGACGAAAATGAGTATCATACGCATCGACTTACGAACGCTTCGCTCACGCGATTTTCCGCCTGTGCGTTTCTCAGGCCCCGTTCATACACCGCGGTTAATGCGATTTGGCTGTAATGCTGAAAGTAAAGCATAGGTATCGATCTGGAAAAAAAGCGGCAATGCGATTATGCGATGAAGCGATATAGCGATTTAGCTGTAATGCTGAAAGGGACAGATGCGAATCGATTGAGGTGGCTCCGTTCAATGAGCGCAAATGCGATTATGCGATTATGCGATAGACGCTTTGACGATCACATCGTTTGGCGATTATCCAGTTAGATTGGATACATATTGAATGATTTTTATTGAATGATTGACAAAATAAACCCGCCATAATTGGTCGCCTTCTCATGCGTTGCGGTGCGTGCGCACTTTCGGTCGCTTTGTCGCAAATTTGCCATCATCGCAATAAACGCTTCGTCAATACCGCGGTGTATGAACGTTTCTCACAGTCGATACATATCAAACTCTTGACTGAAATTCGCCTGCTCCGGACGTTTCGCTTACGCGTTTCACAATTTCTCAGTCGATGCGTATCTAAATCTTGGCGGAGATTTTCGCCTGTGCGTTTTTTCGCGCCGGCGGACATCTCTGAACATTTCAGGTAACTTACGTGATGTATGCGCCATACTTAGGCATTGTTACAAAAGGCGTGGTCCCTGGAAAGAAGCTTCGGTTGATGGGCTATCGAGTTTTTCTAAAAATGTTTGAATAATGATCAAATCACAGGAATCGCTAAAATGGCCAAAATCGCATAATCGGAGACCTACCACACAAGAAAGATAACAAATACACACTTCCTGAGTAAAAGGAGTTCTGTGGGACCGTTTGACATGGTGCCATGTCACACTCGCGCGGTCAAAATAATGCGCGCGGTCCCACACGCCAGACAGCGAAAAATAGCGCGGTCGTCAACGTGTTAAGGGGAGGTTATATGTCGACGATCCCAATCCCAAATGGTCTCCTCTCATCTGAGTCTACGATCTCTAATTGATCTCAGCCGTGAGCAGCGTACAACTAGCAGACGATCGGAGGTATTCACCGAGATGCTCGCCTCTTTGAAAAACTTTCCCGCGCGCGCTCGTTCAAATAAAGTCGCGCCGGGGCGAGCTTCCACTCAGTAAGGCCGCGCGCATAGTCGGTCGTCCGACAGCAACGGTCTTGCTGTCGGACGACAGCAACGACCGCAAGTGTCGCATAAACCGCGGTGCAAATGGAAGGCGACGCGGTCACCCAATGCTAACCCAGACAACACGTGACTGCGCGTGATCGTATTTCGAAAGTCCCACTGTAGTGTGGAATAGTAGCTGCGTATTGATCTGCGACACTTACGATCGTTGCTGTCGTCCGACAGCAGCGGTCGTAAGTGTCGCATGTGTCGCAGATCGATACGCACCCAATGCTGTGCGACACTTGCGGTCGTTGCTGTCGTCCGACCGACTATGCGTCCGGCCTAACACGGCTGGGAACATTATTTATTTATTTATTTATTTATGATGCACTCGAGGTGCGCCGTCGGTAAACATAACAGTCAAGTTAACAGAGAATAAAACAAAAAGAAAAAAACGAGAGGTAATGCCCTATGTACCAGTAGCCATGCTGACATGAAGAATCCCGTAAAAAGGGTATATCTAACAAGGGAAGGATACCAGGTCGAAGTGGCCATTTGTAACGAGACATACACCACTAGATGTGTTTTTGGACGCTGATCTCGAATCTGCTCTCCAAATCTGCGAAACGATTCTCTGAACGTAGTTATGAAGCGAGATAGTGCAGTGGCAGCGGCCCGAGCCGACGAGTAAGAGGTCGTGAGATCGAGTTTTCGGCGACTTCTCACGTTTGCTTCCCTTGAGACATTGCTAAAGATGCTTTATCCATATGAGTTATTAGCGACTATATTACAAGTGGGAATAGCTAGCGAGGAGCATCTAACACTGTGCGCGCCATTCGCAAAAGATCGCCCCTTGTACTCGTAGCGCACGCGTCAGGCGCATTCGTGCCAAACAGAGGTGATATTCGTATTCAGCGCGTCAAAATGCCCCTTTCCACAACTTTTGGTCCAAATCTGAAATTTGTGTACCTAACTTTGAAAATGTGGGCAGTCACCGTTGGTCATTTGCACATGGCACGCACACTTGATCGAAACTCCTCGCTATCTCCTCGCACTTGTAATAACAGGCAAGTGCTGATGACTTAGCATAGATGAGGATTTCCTTAACAATGTCCTCAGGAAAAGCAAAAGTCAAAACTCGCCGAAAATTCGATCTCACGACCTCTTTCCGTCGGCTGGGCCACTGCCACTGCACTATCTCGCTTCATAACTACGTTCAGAGAATCGTTCCGCAGATTTGGAGAGCAGATTCGAGATCAGCGTCCAAAAACACATCTAGTGGTGTATGTCTCGTTACAAATGGCCACTTCGACCTGGTATCCTTTCCCTTGTAAGATTTCGAACAACGTAAAGGTATGGGCTAGTGACAGTCTTAGCTTTCAGAGGTACTAAGGCAGTGGAGTGAGAAAGCCATTGACTGGGCCGCCAGATACTACACTTGACTAAAAAGTAGTGAAGAAGAGAAGTCGATTCGTCTGTAATTTGGCAACCTCAGCAGCAAACCAATAGCTTGCCAGCGCCTCGTTAAGGAAAAGCAAGGCAATAAAAAGGGAGTGTAGGGTAGTCTGGCCAACGCAACTAACCGAAGCTATTCCGAGGCGGGCCAAGGTAGTTGCCTCTTTAAGCTAAATACGTACCTCGGGCGTAAAAACCAGACCCAAGTGACAGTAGGATAAACCTATGCCACCTGTTACCCTACTCCCATGAACCGCAAAACATGAAGAGGCATCATAGTGTGAGGAACGCCAGCCTACAGACTATAGAAAAAAATGCGAACGTAGTACAGGCAGCA